TGCTCCCAGGAAGAGACTGGCCCTTGAAAGTCCTCAGGACACTACCACAGGAGCATCTGTCAGGCTGAGCATCTCTGCATTCTCTTGTTTTACAGTAGACTACACACACCAAGTTATTTGTGAGGCACATAACAGCCTTATTCAGGCATGTTCCAACCTAAATAAATAACATTCGTCTGAAATAACTGGTGATTTGCCTAAAAGCAAAAATCCCTCATTGGAGCGTGGCCCAAATTAAAACGTTTGTTGGAAAAACAGATTTCTTACAGTCATATTGCAAACAAATGTATATACACAACAGGAGATAGAAGAAAGTCCTTGAGCTGGGCTCTGTGATGTTTCCAATCCCACACTGCACAGATGAGAGTCATGTCTCTAACTGCTTTCAGGCCAAGGCACTTGGCCTGGATGGCTGCTTTGAAACACCTGTGGCCCAGCCTAGGCCTTATGTTACGCATGATGACTCCATTCTGACTGCGTGTGGGATGAACAAGAGACCGGGCAGCACTGTCAGCCTTTTGTAGTCAGAGTAACACAGTTAACACTAACTTCTGGGAAGCAGACAATACTAGAGAGAGCAGACTGTGTCACAACTTTACACATCAGCTTTCAGAAAGCACATTGAATCCATTTATCCAGCATCTTATAAAAGCACCATTGAAAGGCTAAAGAGAGAGCACCGCATATACAGAATTGTGATCAAGACAGCAGACAGGAGCTGTTCAGGGAGCTATGGAGACGCACGCAGCCCAGAAGAATCCCTGCAGGATGGATTCCCTGAAGGCACGATAGACGAGGGCTTAGAGAACAAGGCAGCTGGTCCTCTGCCAGTTGCTACTGTGGGGATGGTCCAGCTCTGGGTGACTCACGAATATGAATCCCCCCACCTACCCATCCCTCACCCTATGAATCCTGCTACACGTAAGCAAGCCTGCAGTTGATACTAATACAAAGACCGAAGCAACTAATTGTTCACAGTTGACATGGACAAAGACCACCACCTCCCTGAATGCTCACTGTTGAAAAACTTAGGTTCTTCAGAAGAAGACTGATAATTCTTATTGCAAAGCTTAGTCATCATAGCTACATTACTGGGCTTTTTAAAGGATGTTTGTGAGAGACTATTGCTATTGTAGGGCTAACTGAGGTCCAGTACATTTAACGTGTCTTTATAAAGCTGTTTCCAACTTAGACAAAGTGGGGGTTGTCTTTTTGTAGTTTTGTATTAAACAAACACAGTATGGAAAAGAGCATGGAAGTACTAGCTACTTAGTAAAAAAGGCACTATAACTGATCTAACGGTGGTAATTAGGTACCTGCCTGTGCTACAAATATCTGTAAAGAATCTGTTTCTCTCTGTGACTGAGAAAGTCTGCGCCATGGTAGGAAGGGGCAACTGGTTTAGGTACAGGGTGAGGACTGGTTTAGGTATGTGGTTAGAACTCCCACAGGAGACAGAAATTCATGGAAGAGACATCCAAACTGCATTTCCTATTTCTACCAATTCCCAGAAGGAACTCAGAAAAGATTTTACTAGTGTAAAAGTAACACTTTACTAGTGTAAAACTACACTTTACACTAGTGTAGTTACACACATTACAGCTTGTCTTGGCCTTACTCTGGCAATTTGATGTGAGATCTTATTGTATAGTTGTGCCAAAAACTGGAGGCAAAGAAACAGACTGTGAAGCTTCCCCAGAAAAGATCACCAGGTAACGAATACTTCAATTTGGATGTTGCCATTTTATTTAGGGATATGGTGAAAGAGAAAAAATAGCAATGAAGTGACAAGTAGAAGAGACTCCCTTTTCTTTACAGTCAGATTAATCTATTTGGGGATTACTGTTGGAAAAATCTTTCCATCCAATATATTAGTGAAAAGGAAGCATTGGCAACAGCCGTAAAGGAACAGATCTTACTTCTGGGAAGAGGGAACTAAAACAGAAGCTTGATTCTTTGTCAAGAGATGTAATTATTTACTTAAGAACCTTGGACTGAATTCTAAAACATTTTTCTTTAGCATTAGACTATATAATGAAGATTGTAGGGGAGTTATGGACTCCCCTGTGCATCCTTGTTCAGGAGGGCAATTCCTATTTGCAGCTGCTGGCAGTCCAGTGTGAGGGGGTCTCAACAGCTGAGGGCAGACGGATGCTGAAAAGGTTGTGACCAGCTTGAGAATCATTTGAAGGGGAAGGAATGTGCCAGCACCACAGGACTGCAGACTCAGTACCAGCTCCCAGTGCAAGGCTGTGTGAGGCAGGTTAGAAATAGAAACAAAAGAAAAAAAGAGAGGGGGAGGGATTTCACTGTGGAAAAGGGAAGTCTGGGGGTCTCAAAGAGCAGCTGTCAGAACGGGGGAAAGGAAGGAAGGAGCTGAGTGTTGCATCCCTTCCTCCAAAACAACAGTCTTGAATCTACTCTGAAAGACTGCAAAAAGCAACCGGGCAGCCCTCCTCCTTCCTTTGACTTGCTCATCTTGATGGGGGCACTTCTACAGCGATTCTTGGTTTTCTTTTGCACATTAAAATTTTATAATTGAGAGTTCGGTGTTATTTTTCGCTATCATTAACTGGCATTATCTTTTGTCGTTAAACTGTCTTGAAATTGCATCTGGTGAACCTGACCAACCTCATGTTGCTACTGTTTCCCCAAAAGTGGTCATCCATGTAATGAGGAAGACAATCCTTAAGGATTGTAGATGGGATTGTAGATGCCATCTTGAGATGTATTTGGGAATTTCAGGAGTTGGGATATGCCTGCCACTAAGTTGCAGGAGTCAGACTGAGGACTACATATATAAACCCGTACCCCTGAGCAAGGAACAGACAGCAAACACATAGATAAAGACTTCAGAAATTCTCCAGACTTAGCACAAAAGATCTTGTGAAACATGGTGCATCTTATCTTTGGCCTTAAACAGTATGAAGTAGAAGGAGAGAACGGTCAAAGGCAAACTTCATGAATTCACATTCAAGGGAACAGAAACAGAAACTTTTTTTGAGGGACAAACTCCAGAAAGGAAGACTGAAGTCAGCTTTAAAAAGCACTGAAGTAAAGTGGAAGCAAAGGGTTTGCTACAGCTATGGAAGCATGACAGCATGGTCAAGAACCCAATGGATGTAGACTGATCTGAACTGCTTTTCCTTGAAAGAAGAGAGTCATAGATCAAGTGTGCTTCACTGATGCACGAGGTCAGGATCCACAAAGTCTGAATCACCCTGCGGGCAGAGTTTGACCGCACACTTGCACTGCTCCTTAGAGCCATACTACTTACAGGCAAAGCCCATAAATTAGTATACTTCTTTCCGTTATTAAGTAATTTCTAATAAATGCGTGTAGCCAGATCTGTGTTTGCGCTGTATAGTACCAAGTAATGTTGAGCACTGGACAGTGATCTGGGAAAGACTCAATCCAAGATACCAAAACCCAGTACCAACTGAACTGAAACTAAACCCATTCTAGGCTACTATGGAATAAGCCAGCCTCCGTTTATGTACTGTTTATTTTGAGTTGAAAATAAACTACTCTTCAAGCACATGCCAAATATTACATATGTGAATGCCTGTTCTCTGCTGTTAGACTATTCTTGTGCTATTATGCTATTCATTGTACTACTCTTGAAGAAAACAAAAGTATCAACCCACTACCTACTTATTTCATCTAAGCACTGTACTTTGTTTTTTAATAGTAACAGAATAACTTGGTATCTTTGAAAGATGGTGGCTTTCAAACTGCTTGTCAGAGCCCCAAGAAGTTCTTGGTTGCCCTCCTGCTCCTTTTAGCAGAGGAACAAGGAGGAACAGTGGCTATCCCAGACTAAATCCCATTCTCTCTCTGCCTCTTTTTTGCCCTTTGGCAGTGTTGTTTTACACAGACTCCGTTATTTTGAGCTTAAAAACAGCAAGGTATGTTCCACATCCCTGCTCAAGAAGACCAAAAAAATCCCAAAGTTAACTTACATACTTCTAAAATAGGAAAAAAAATTACAGGAAAGCCAAACAAAGCCCAGTCAAAGAATGGGATCCCTCCTGTTACATAAAACAGAAAGTTAATCTACAAAAACTTTGAGGATGAAAAATATGTTGTAAAAATAAAAAGTATCCACTCAACACAGTACATAAATTTTGCTATATAATAAACTAGACAAACATATTAAAATATTTTAAGTCTTAAAAAAGGGCAAAATTCTTCAAAAGATGACTCAACACTACTAAGGTTAGACTAAACGTAATGCCAATGCATCCATTTGCACAACTTTTTGCAACATGACAATTGCCTGATGTGTGTATGTGTAGGTATATGTGTGCACGCGAAGGGAATGGAGCAAGAACGTTAAGGGTGTCACTTGCCATTTTAAAGCAGTATTTCACCAATAATCAAACAAAAAACCTACAAATACCAGTACATATCTCAAATATTGCAAGTCACATTCTACAGCCCTTGACATTAAAAAAGAAGAAAAAGCCAACACAATTAATTCAAGTACATTTGGAGTAGGTCCCTTGTGAAATGAAGTACTGTTGTCTGCACTTTAGTTGCAATGAACGTGGACAGAGCTCCCCAAAAGACACAGAAGTCAGCACACCTTCCCCAGCCCTGCAACGTAAGTCTGAGTTGAGGTATGATGATCCATGATTTGCTCAAAAAAGTGGATGCTTGAACTTGAATGAAAAATGATGCTTGAAAAACACTTTGCAGCAAATGACATAAAATAATCTTTTAAAACGAAAAGCTAGCTTTGTGTAAAGGCAGTCTTTTTGGTATGTAATCCTATTGGGACGTCAAGCCCGGCAGTCCTTCCCAAATTCTGGTCATCACGGAGCTAACAACAAAGAAGCCTTTACGTTGTCCTGGTCGTCATTCCGACCTGACGTACCCTTTCCCGTGAGCCTCCATCCACCACCCGGAATAACCTAGCGGGTATCACACCCCAGCTGAAATGTATGCTGCTTCTTCACAACTTTTGTTCTCTACTTAGCTTTGTTCCTCAAAAGGAGAAGCACTTCCCTCTCCACGTTTCACATGTTCCTTTGAAAATACCAGCGGATCAGATAAATGCTGAAATCTGCCTGCCAGAGTAGTTAAAGTCTGGTGAAATCCCTGTGGTGCTGCAAGTCCCCTATGCTCTCATAGTCATTCTCTCCCGAAAGAGCAGTGTGGTTTGTGTTAGGCACAGACAAGGTCCTGTCTTCTTCTTGGCTCACTGACTGGATAGCTTCATAGTCAGGCTCCAGCTCCCCGTTTGGTCTGTCCGCTGACTGAGGCACAGTGGTAATATTTAGGGTGTTTTCAAAGTCCTTCACACTTGCATAGAGGCCACTGCAAATAGATGGGGACCTCTGAGATGCCATTTCTTGAATACAGGTGTATGGAGAATCCAGTGCCTTGATGGCCTGTCCCGGCTTACTCACCGACGAGTACATGGCTGAGATCTAGGAAAAGGAGACACCTGCTGAGTACTTAAGCACAGCATAAAGCTTGTGTGCTGGTTTGTACCCCTTCCACCACAAGGATGTCGGTTACTTGAGAAAAGACAAGATCTAATAAAAACATATCCTTCCTTACAAAAAAAAGGATTTCTTACAAATCCTTTCCTTTCTGGCATGCATTTATAAATTGATTTTCTTTCAAAAAAGAATGTTTTATGAAATACTTTCTAAAAGAAGTTTATAAGTGTAGAAATTCTTTGAACATAAATCCCCTGTGGGCAACTTAGACCCGGGACAAAAGGGAATGGCTTTGTGAGTAGGGGCTCTTGCAAGTTTTGCTATGGTCCTGGAGTCAGCTTGGGCTCAATGGGGAGACAGGCGTCAAAGGGATGATCAGGTTTAGCTGCTGTAATGTAGGAGAAGGATGCTGTCTGATCCTTGGGGGTTTTAAAATTATTATTATTTTTAATGGCAGCAGCTACTTTTCTGCTTTTAGAGACACCCCAATAGGAGAGTAGTTATTTGTTGAGTTTATAGGCAGGACCAAGGAGGCACCAAGTCATGTGAAGAGAACATTAAAAATCAGGAGATAAATTACCCGCACCAGAAAATAGCAAATAGTCAGTGCCGATCTTTATATGCAAGGTCTGTTCTGTTGACTAAACTCTCCCTACAAAGAGAAGCTGCATCTCAGACACTGCGTATCAGAACTTAAGACTAGAGACTCAATCCTCTCAGCTACTATAAACACAAGAGAGGGAGCCGGTATCTCACTCCTAGCTCTAAAAACCCCCTCTGCAGAGGTGGTATGCTTAAACAAGCGCACGAAGGTGGCCCTTAATGAAGAGGTGGAAGAGAAGCCCACGTCCACACATGTCCCTCCGCTCAGGGCTCGCCAGGGCTGGCGCCAAGCGCAGGGAGCCACGCTTGACTCCCTCTCCCAGGCCAAGTGGATACTACCCCTTGCACAGGGCAGACGGCTGAAATTCCCTGCACTGCTTCTCTGGTACCTAATATCGCAATTGCAACATAGCTCTTCTCTTACATTTAAAGTCTTTCCCAAGCATGCAAGGCCACTCTGGATTTGTATCAATCCAATTAAAATAATAGATCGGCATGAAAATGTCCATTACCATTAAGCAACACTGACTGATGCAGATAAACCGGATTGCTTCTGTTAATTCTCTATTTTTTTGAATTTTTTTTTTTATAATGAGAGACATTCAATTGCAGATGACAATACTTCTTACTTTTTACTGATTTCAGCCAACCAAACAAAAAACGGCTTTTCTGCTCATCCATACTTCAGCCCTTTCCAGCATTCAATTACATGAACCCAGTTCAAGGATCAATTTATTCATTAATGTCTGGGAGCGCTTCTCCCAGCAGAAAGCATGAGCTCACTCAGCTCATTGCCAAGTTTGTGTTTACTTTTATGTCCGGAGAACATATTTATAAATTGCATGGGTATATTGGACATGATCACAAGCAACCTTATCTCTGTTTAACTTTTCTGTCTTTGTTTCAGTCTCCTCAATTTATTTGACTAACAGACATTTTAAAGAACAGTTTATGTTCCAGTGCTTTTATTGTGCTTCTGTTATTTCCCAGAGCCCCAAACACTTTGCGTGGGTAAGGTGGAGCATGTTTCAGAAGGCTGCTGCTGATTATTCTTGTATGCTCGTCATCCAAATCAAGAAGCTGCCCTAATGATCACCTAATTGTGGCCTCCCGTTATTTTCTGACTCCATTTTTTAACCTATTGGCCTGATATAGCCGTATGCTAGAATATTTCTGATTTTAGGAATGTGGCAGTACAAACTGTGCAGAGAAATTTCGGCTTTCATTTTCTCTTCAGACAAATTTCACCTTTCTTAAATCCTGCTTAATCATGCAGAGCTTATGCTAATTTCTGCCTGAAGAAGGTCTCCAGTTAGTTATTGAATTTTGTGCAAGAAACCTACTTCATCTTCTGTAAGAGATGGATCTTCCTCCCGAGACTTGTAAGACATCGAACTAAGCCTCTGTAAAAAAGGAAGAAAGAAAGGAAAAAAAAGGCTCATTACCAGTCAACAGTGTGAAACCTATAGTAAAACCCTCCCATTACAATCAATACATTGTATTTTATGGTCATTTGCTCACTAGTTCCATTTTACAGAGCTAATATCCCTAATATCCAGAGTACATCCCTGGAGATAACAGCCCTGAGGTTAGTAGAGCTTTTTAATGTATCTGCTCTTGTCCTGACCTGAAAAGGGTAAAAATAATGTAATGGTTAAAACAAACTCTGCTCCACTGTATCCCTGCCTTTAGACTTCTAATGAAGCAAGAAAGACTCTGCAAAGGCTTTTGAAGAATTGCAAGTCAGCTGTTGTCACACTCCAGTTGACCTTCCACGTGATTTTCAGATCTGCTTTTAGATGACAAAAGAACAATACTCAACTGGCACCTTCCTGACGACTCTTACCCTTCACTCAGTGGATTCTGGAAGTGCCGCAAGGGAGGTGCCATGTCCTACCTCCCCCGAAATGCAGCAGCTGTGCAGATGTGCACAGCAGCATGGCCTCACAACCGCTCAGACCGCAAACATGGACAAGACCTGCTGCAACCCACCCCGAGACGGGCAGCTCAACCCTCAAAGCATCCGGCTGGATCCAGTTCACACAGCAGTCACTAAAGGTACTAAGTTTGGTATCAAGTCTAACTTCAAGCACGTAAAGCATCCTGTGGAAATTAGGTCACGAAACATTGGGGGAAAAGCATTGTGTTCTTATGAAAAATGTCTGAGGACCTTTATGGCAACGAAGACCCTGGCTACCTCACAGCAGCCGTCTGATTCCTCCCTGCTGGCTCTGCTGGGCTCCCTCTCCACAGTGGTTCAGAGGGAGCCTTCCAGCCCTGTTTGTAACGGGCTGTGTTTTGGAGTTTCACGCAAATTATCCACCTAAAATACTTCAGACCTCCTCTAGCACAGACCAAGGTGGAGAAGTAAAGCTATTTTTAGCACAGTCAATCAAATACTGCTTCCAGACACATATTATACACACAAGACTTTTTTTTTTTCCGCAGAGACTCATTACAACAGATTCTTTCCTATTTCCATGTTTCTTGGTGTTTTTACTTCTGGTAAATACGAAGCTTCAAACCCCTGGAGCATTTCTGATGAAGACCCTGACCCAAAGCACGCTGAAGTCTGCCTGCTGCTCCCCGGGGGGCTTCCCTCACACCTAACAACTCCCTTGCTTCTTTCCCACTGCCTGGAGAATGTGCTCTTTAACGGGTGGCTTATTTACTCACCAAAAAAATAAAAAAAAAAAAAAAGAAAAAGAGAAAAAGGAGAAGTTCAAACATATTTTGGCCCTTTATTAGATCCGTTTCACTTACAGCAGCTCAGTTTAGTCCTTCTTATTTGCAGGGTATTTTTTGTGTTGAGGAGTAAGTTACTAATTTCATCCTCACACATTAAAACAAATGTGCTTGCAAAATTCTTCAGTGAAGTTATTTTCTCTCATCAGTGTCTATAAGCACCATGTGTCAGGACCCCTTCTACAGTTTCCCACTCAAGTATTAACAAATACCCCAGGGTGTTGGCAATCCTGTTCTTGTTTCCCTGCGACCTAGTGTTCTTTCTTCTAAATGTGAAACCTGTGACACGTCAATTTTGAAGGATACTGTCATCTTGGAAACTGAAAAAAAAAACTTGCTCCTAAACATTTTGTACTTAGCAATATTATAAATTACGCTTGAAACCTCAACATCAGCAACACAAACAGCATGTGTCCTTATTTGCCTTCCACTTTCCTTTTGTTCCTCGACAGCGCTTGATTTTTTTGCTCTTTGGCTCAGCTGCTGCTCCTGACTCGGGCACCAGAACAAGACGACCATTCTCCTCTGGTGCATTTGTAAGAGATGCTTTGCCCATCCTCAGGCTGCGCAAGGCTGAAATCAGATGGCAGCAGCCAGATGTACACACAGAGAGCATTTCTACCAGTGCTCACTCTGGAAAGACCTGGGTGAAAAAGGAGATCTGTACTTCCTTTTTTTTTAATTAAAAAGGAAGAAACCAAAACCTATTCTGCCTCTCCAGTTTTATTAGAAGAACTACACCCAAGTTTTTCCAGGTGATAAGAGGCCTCTAAGCGGCATCGTGCTATTAAAGGTGCCCTTCACCAAAACCTTCCAAAGGACTTGGCTGGGTCACGGCCAATAACCAATTTAGATAATTAATTTTCACCCATTTATTGCATGTCTGGCTCTTGAAAGGATCCTTTATCCCTTTCATGCTGTTATATACTGGAACGGTCTCTGGCTTGGTCCACCTAGCTCTCTCCCAAATGAGCGTGTTTCAGGAGCTGGCATGGGCTGGGGATCATCCTGGCTGCCCTCTTCTACAGGGTGAGACTGAAACAGCCTGGACACGGTCTGTTCTCTGTCTGTTGGCAGATCCAAGCCTCGGTTACCCAAGCAGCCTCCCTGCCTGTCCCTTCTTTGTGCCCTACTAAAGCAAAGCCTAATTGTAGTGAGAGAGACTCACACGACTTACACCCAACCCCTCCTTCATCAGGGTCAGGGCAGAAGGTTGAAAAGTTTGGGATACAGATGTCATGTCAAGGAAGGCAGCTAAGTAGCCTCACAAGAGAGGAAGCAAAAAGAGACGCCCATGGGGTCTGTTTAACTAAAAGAGTTATCAATATAACATACATTTCCATAAACATCTTGGTTTTGGTTGCCACATCGGAATAAAACAGGCATTGCTCTGCATTGTTTGAAGCAGCAAAATAGAGGGAAAAATTATCATCATCACAACAGAAAAACAATCCTGCAACCACCTCCCCACACAATGCCAACAATAATGACATTTATATATTCCATCAATTACCATTTCCAGCTCTGCTGCAGCTGTAGCTCTCAAGGACAGGACAGGCACACGCTTCGATGCATAATGCATGTACCTAGCAGCGAACGCAGGAACGATCTGATGCTGCCGAAGCTTTAACTCAGGATGGCTTTAGCTCTGAATAAATTTTAATTAGACAAACACCTTTTTCCTGGCACTTAGGGGACTGCATGTGTCATCTCTTGATTAATCCTTCAAAACCTGAACCATTTTAATCAATTCCCACTCCTTGCAGTTACTGACACTGTATACACGGGCTGCTGGGGAGCTACAGAGCAGCAAACGCTTTTCCTCTCTATCGGTGCCTGGGAAATACAATGATTTTCTGCCAGCCTTTTCACACCTGGTAGGAAAAATGTCACTGTTAGGGAAAGCTGTTTCTCTAAAAGTTTAATGAGAAATTACATATGGCCTGAATTTGGGAGGGGGGAGTGTTGGTGGATTATTGTTGACAATCACATCTTAATTTTCTACTAAATGAGCTTGTTATTTCTAAGAATGTGCACTGAAGGGTCCGGATAAACAATTTTTAGATTATGAGTAGTCTTCAGTTTATTCATTTTGACTCCACTGTGCTTTGTACGTCACATGGTTAGTCAGTTATTTAACAAGGTATTTTTCTGCCCTCTGCCTGGATTACTGAAATACTTCAAATAAGAGAACAACCAGAAACAATTAAGAGCTTGGCTCTGCTATGATTTTTCAGGTAAATGTTTACATTAAAGTGTCACATCACATATTAAGGCTTTTTTTAAAATTTTCATCAATACCTAATATTATTTGATAAGTCAAACACCAAAATGATGTTAACCTGCTAAAATCACAGTTCTTTCATTCACAATTAACAACAAGTTATCTAAACTAGTTCTGAAGAATGCAAACTCAACAATTTGTGACAACTCCGTGCAATGATCTGAAAGCATCTTCAAAATTAATGCTGGTGAAAAACTAAAAATGGGAAAATAACTTGCTGAAAATGTCATCATTCTGTTTTTTCAAGGAGTTCACCACTAAGTTGTCCCTAGGCTGGCAGAAAGTGTAAGGTGCTGAGAAAACATAACTTTTGGCCATGATTTCAGCAGGTAGAAATTAATTACTCTCTTTACGTGTGACATACAGAATTTGACAAATATAAAAGCCTATAGCTGCAATCTCGCTCTCCTTCTGTCCCTCTCTCCTACAGAGAGAGACGAGAGGCTTTGAGCAGATGCCTAGCACTCGCACAGCTAAGCCAAGGTGGCCCAACAAAGGAGGCACATCTAAAGTTAGGGCATCCACCAAGAATGCCCCCCTCTCCTTCTTGTAAATTGAGGTTTCATTAGAAAAAAGCAAGGCGGGGGGTTCGGAACAAGATATAGATGCTGACAGAGATACTGGATACCTACTGTAATAGCTCCCACAGGTACAATACCATTAAATAAAGAAGCAGAGGCCTCCTGTGCAATTTCTGGATAATATTGGTGAAAAGCCTTATGAAGTGCATACTGCAGCGATCCAAAATATAGGCTGTAATAGAATGAGTACATGCCTATAATGCAAAGACTATGCTGTACATTTTCATATTTCCAAATTTTACGGTCTTGCATCACTTTGAGTGTTGTTTTTTTTCCTTGGCATTTTTTTGTTATGTAAAAAAAATTGTCTCCCACCCATACCTTCTCTATCATTATTCGGCTGTTTGACAAGAACAAGTATTTGCAGTATTTACCTTCTCTGGTTTACTTGCTCCTTCTGTCACTTCTTCTTCTTCCACTTCTTTTTCTTGCACATTCTCATTTTCATCGAGAAGTTTCATGGGTACCGGAGGGGGAAGCTCATCCTCTACATCTGGTGTGTTGTCAAGAGGGCTTTCTGAATTAGCACTTTGGCGACTTTTTTTATTTCGGTCAACAGATGCATATTCTGCTGATTCAATTCTGCACTCAGGAATCTGATCCTGACCTTCAGAAACCGCCAACGAAGCCTTTGATTTGCTGTTACAGCTCCCTTCCATGCTGGCTACTGCTCCAACATCTTTAATTTCCTTCACAGTTTCATACAAGCAGTCTTCAACTATGTTCTCCTGAGAGGAGCTGTCTTTTAACACTTCGTAAGGCCCTTCCATTCCAAGACCTTGATCATTTTCTGCATTTCTAGCTGAAATTATGGTTTCCATGGTGTTGTTAGGGGGAATACTGGGTAGTTCCCGGCTCTGGTGACATTTTATGGACTTCCCAAGACTATCCTGTTGATCTAGCAGATCAGAGACAGACGTCTGTACTTCTTCATAAGGCTGGATACAGGCAGTTGTACTGTCCTCTGAGAGTACTAGAGAAAATTATAAAGAAGTAATTAAAACAAATGTATAACTATAAGGTGAGTGCTATTTGGTACTCTATATCACTTTGGTTTTGTGTCTCATTGGAAAGGGTAAATGATACTAATGCCCAGAAATGTCTAGTGGCCATCGTGCTTTTTGTTTAGCGAAAGGTTTCAGTTACAGAGATTTCTGCACTCTACTGTTAAAATATCTTTCTCACAACTTAAATACTCTGTGCACCCTCCACATCACATTGTATAGTGACAGCATTCACCGTAAGAACAGTGGATGGGTGGGTAGCTGCAGGTGTGCATGGATGTTCAGCTGTACTCAGTTATATTGAATGCTTACAGACTGCTCAGTAGTCTCAGATGGAGAATGCTGGTGGGAGGCCTCAAACCAAGCGCCTTTAAAAAAAGCCTTGTTAGGTTTTCCTCTTTCCATTTCCCTACCCTTTGGAATCAAAACGGAAAGCATTTTTGCATCTTCCCTACCCAGCCCTCACCTTGTTTAACACGCTGGCCAAATTCTCGTCTGAATCACACCTCGCTCAGCCCTGCCGCACTCAGCCTCGCTGCACGCTACACCAGAAGCTCCTCACTGGAAGGCTATGCCATACTTCTCTTAGTCTCGCAGCACATAATGTAGGTTGACAACCTACTAACGAGCCAGCCATATGCACAAAAGAGAAGACTAGACTTCAGAAAGTAGTGTTAGGCAGAACATGTTATTTTAAGTCCCAGAAGCGGGTCACGTGTCACTGTCACTAGAGGGTATTAGAGACTGAAATCTATGGGACTTCCCATCTTGCAGTGCACGCGTATGACATTTGCCTGCCTTCAGGGATGTATACGTGGGCACATACAAGCGTGTTTCAGGTAGTATGTGGTACATAACTTTACATGACACCATTTCTTTGAAAAATCACTTCTGAACAGCTTTACTTTTCTTAGTACGGTTCCCATGGTACTCTCTCAGCAAAATCAAACCATTCTTGCATTTCCTTCAGTGTGTTTGACATGATGACATAAAGTGTTGCTGAAGCAATCAGTAGCCTTGATTTGGTGGTTGTCACGGACGTTGCTTTCGCTTGTGCTCAGGGCATGCAGGCTCACGCCGTCAGCACCCGCAGGGAGCCGCACCCTGACAGCAAAACTCAGGATGGAACTGGAGGTATGAGATGGTAATTGCTGTCTGAGTGGGAGATGGGAGGAGAAGAAAAGGAAAACATCCTTCTCCATTCACTTGGCTCCTGCATTCAACTGGGAAGGAGCAGGTGGAATAGGAGGAAGTCTCCTATTGCGTCCCGACTAGGACTCAGGGTGTCCTAGTCACTACCCAGGATGCTGCAGACTTCCTGAGGAGCATCAGGAACTGGCCTGGAGAAGCTGGAACACGTTTTCCCCTTTGCTGCTTGCTCTCAGGGATTTCTGTGCTCTGCAGAGCACTGCCACAGGCTCCAGAGAGCGCCCACCCCGTTCAGCCTCAGGGGGGATAATCAGAAGCAATGAGAGCTCACATTTCCATGCTCCTGTGGTTATGGGTAGTGACACAGAAGGGGTTGGCATAGATAAGGGATTGGCATAGATAAACACAATGCTGGCAGGTTGGGTAAAGCAAAAAAAACCCCAACATTTGATGGTTTGCTTCCATAGGCCTGCCCCTGTTCAAAAGGTTAGCAGAAACAGCAAAAGAAAGAACTATTAACAAAAATAACGCATAAAGTATAAATGAGAAATTAAAGCACATTGGTTCCTGTTATTCAGAAGGGTTGTTATGCAGAGTGTAATCTGAGTAATATCAGACAGTCTGAAAACTGTCTGCGGGTTGACAGCATGCCTTTTAGTAGCAGCTTTGACAGCTGCATGTGTGGTGACTCGTGGCAAAGAGAAATGCTTCCCTTCTGCAGGGCTTTGCACATCGAGTCTCTTGGTGAGCCACACACCTACGTACGCAACAAGCCAACGGACGGGAGCAGCGATTAGCTGCAAAAACAAAGTTTAAAAAATCCTTTAGGTACTTGTCTCTGAGGGGTAAAGATTGAATAGCTTCGCCTCCGGCTGCACAGTGAGATGAGGAGGTAGGAGGTGAAGAGCGCAGCCCATGGTGTCGGTGCCTAGTGTGGAGACAACAGTTGGCTCCTGGAAGCTCTGAGCTGAGACTGAGTTTATTTTTAGGTGCAGCTGAGTAAAATATTTTCCAGTGATACTTCACTGTGAATCATTTTGAGCATTCAGCAAAGCAAAGACTAAGGAAAAAAAGGAAGCCTATTTATATTGCCTGTTTTCTAAAATACAAAAATACAAGCGTCAGCCACGCACAGCACGAAACTATGATCCAAAGCTGTAGTCCCTGGAGGAGGACATTAAATACTTCCACAGCCTCCAGGAGTGAAGCTCTGAGGTATGGTTGCATCTTCTGGTCACATCCCAACTCTGTAGCTGGCTGAGATTAGGAAACGCCACAGTCTTTGCCTGGCGGCCTGGTCAATCTGCAGGTGTAGCTTGGTGGCCCAGAGGAGGACCTTAGCACCTTCCCAGTGTTGGTTGGCGTGGAAGACTGGGAGCTGGGGTGTAGGGCTGTGCCAGAGCACTCCCAGCAGGGAAGTGGAGATGCAGCTTAAAATGCCAACATTTCCACGGGATGAGCTACTGACTTCCCAGCAAGACAAACATCCTCACTGCATTTTTTAACTTGATCATAAGTTTTGTGTGAATTATGTCCTGTGCGAAGAGGACTGACTGCCCTCCAGAGAGCTGCATGCCTGGCCACTGCCCTGGGATACAGCAGCTGATCTGGTGCCAGACCTCCAGAGGTGAGCAGGGTATTCAGACAAACGGCATGACCGTGTGCTTGGAAAGCTGACAGCTAGAAACCTAAGAGTTGAGGGATCACCAATGTGCAGCTAACGTGGGAGCTGTGAGCAAGGGGAGAGTGCCGCTCGTTCATCCCACCCGCAGGGGCTGCGCTACTCACCCTCGCCGTTGCTGAGTGCCCCGTTCTGGTCGCTGCTCGGAGGGGGCTCTGTAGCCGAACTTGTGATCGAGTGGCTGAACACCTCCTTATCGGAAGGCTGCAATGCAAATTAGTGAGATCTAATCACCGTTGGATCAGAAGAAGCGTTTGCATAAATAGATACGCAACAAATTTCATTCTGATCTCGGGAGCTCTGATTCATAGGTGTTACCGGCAGGAGAATCAAACCATGCCAACTGTACTCAAAGATTTAGGTCCCTGTGTTTACAGATGTTAAAACAAATAAATGCAAGTATGTCCAGAGTGATCTCCCTTCCAACCTTTATGGTAATAGACGTTACCATGGCTTTAAGCCGTGAGAAGACAGCAGCTGACACAGGGTACACTGCGCTTGTGCTGCAAATGGAGTGGAAGAGAGGCAGGAGGTCTGGAGTACAACGGTGGCAGAAAGAGCATTGAGAGAGTGCAGATCATCGAGGTCTACACAAGTTCTCCTCTTCCTGTTCTGCAACTTTTAAAGTCTCCCTTGCTCAACCATCTCCAAATTCCTGAGCTATTTTCCAATCTGCAGTATTTTGTAAGGAGCTTGGTACAAACCAACCACAAGACAGACACAAGCTGCCAGAAATAAATACTTACCACATTCATCAGATTTTCATGATCTCCATTCTGATGTTTGGCCTTCTTTTCCCTTAATGAAAAAGACATATGAACTGTTACTACGGATTATGCTAATATACAAATGCCAATCATTAATAGACCTTATACACCTGCAGGGAACAGAACTGTGATTCACAGTAATACTGAAAAAAGAATAACTGAAAATTATTACAGGGACTGGTATGACCTCTGTGTAAGGTTACTGTTGAGGCAGGGCAGTGGTAAACATATCTGAAGAGGTACAACACACACACACACACACAAACCTTTTTCTCATTCAGTGTAAGATCACAGTAAGGAGTAACTGATGATAATCAAAATACTATTATCCTCAATTTAATCATATCTGAAATGCTCAGAGATACATGAGATACATGTTTTTGGTGACAGACTACCTGGGGAGTTCCTTAAACTGTGTCAGTAAAAGGTGTTTATGCTATGAAGAATTAGAAAAGGCCTACAAAATCCAGCCTGCTCCCATTCAGGATGCTAGTTATAATTAATAATAAGCATGAGCAGTACAAATTTCATGGCAGCAGAGGCCTTAATTTTAAAATGAATCCTACTTCACTGAGCACTTCACAGGACTCAAAGTATGGATCATGTTTCCAGTTTTTACCATTTTGGAAATAGAGCTCTTATTCTGAAATACTGTAAGAAACTATGAGCTTAAAATAATAATAGTCCTTCCCCTAGACGAAAAGGCAAGTAAAAAGGTGAGAAAATACGGACAATATGAAATCTGTGCTCCTAAAGTCTGCAATGCATCGTACTTCCCAAATTAGCAACTGTTAAAATTCTACCTAATTGGGAAATAAGAAAACAGAGCAAGTAAGGCTGCACCACTGCAGAGCAGAGTTAAAGTTTACAAATACTTAATTTCCTCTCTGGAAGTTTTTCTGACTCTGACATTTTAGAAAGAGCAGATTTTGTTCCGTTTTCCATGTCCTCAACCATTTTTGAAGAGTAAGCTAGAAAGAAATTTTACATAATTGCATTTATGCATAAACAACCTGCCCTACAGAATGACCTGAAATAAAAGATACTGCATCCAGACTAGCAACACAAGAATTCATTAAAGAGCATCACCAGATAGTTTCTGACAATGTATCCCTGTAACTGCAAAGACATCCTCAGTGGTTTGACTCTGTTTTAAAAACATCTTTCTAGAGATGTTTCAAGGACTGGAGTGTTACCAGACAAAACATCGTACCTAAATGCAATGCTTGTGGGCTTAAGGATTTTTAAAATAGGTTTTATACTTTTAAATAAATTAAAACCCACATATTTCTACTATTTTTACACAGGTATCAAAGGAAATTGTAATGAATAGGAAGATACTGAAATGTCACCTAACAGCTTACAAAAGCATTTCTCCGGAATCACATGAAATTACAAGTTCCAACTTATGCTTTTTAGGGTTTCAGGCAACTTCTGGGGTCTGCTCTTGCCCACGACTGTTTCTTCCAACATTGGCATTAGAGCTGAAAAACAGGGCCTTTCACTGTAGACACACCTTATGCCAATATAGTGTATTTTATGTGTATATAGTGTATTTTATGTGTATATAGTGTATTTTATGCTCTCAATGCGGAATGGCTGAAAGAACATGCTCCTATAGGCATAAGAGTCCAAAGCAAAGATTTTGCTGCTGTACTGAGTTATATGTGTATATAGTGTATTTTATGGCTGCACAGCTTTCTCAACGCTCTCAATGCGGAATGGCTGAAAGAACATGCTCCTATAGGCATAAGAGTCCAAAGCAAAGATTTTGCTGCTGTACTGAGTTATGGATAGGTTTTTTTTTTTTCTCCCATACACTTGACTGATTGAGCTGCACTGGCAAAATGTAGCGATACGAGCAACAGCAGTCCTGCTCCTCATCGTGAAGGTCTGACCTGGTGGAAGGGCACCGTGGCTTGAGCGCAGGCTGCCCAGCTCCCCTGCGCAATCAGCAGGGCTCAGCTTACGTGCCATGAAGGGGCCTTGAAATGTGAATAAACGAAGTCAGTAGAAGTGCCTGTGTTGGTGAAATTGAACCCTCTTATGGAGAAGAAAATAAGGATAAGGTATGAGTACAAGACATTAATTAGTATTACTGTTTGATTCTTACTCGTTTTGGCTTGAACAGCAGGATCAATTCCCTAGTCTTCTGGAATGGCCAAAGCAAAGCTGAAATACATAGAAATCGTTTTCCTTTCCTTTTTACCTATACTTTTTTGGTCCTGTTCAGCCCACCTAATTTTCTCAGTTTCAGGTTAGCCGTGTGATCTGCTAACAGCCGGTGTCTGCCTGCGCTCCAGGCTTCAGCTTAGGAGAAAGCACCTAGCAAACACAACAGTGTTTTTCCTTCACAGCAAAAAAATATAATTTTTTATTTTATAATGAACAGAACTGTTCAAATTTGGGTTTGCTCTGAAAACAGATTTCGTACTGTACTTTTTTATTTCCGTACCTAAATCCTCAGTGTTTCTTGCTAACTAGTTATTAATGAAGCTATTTCAATCCCTGCACTGTGTGACTCAAGAACCATTACTGCCTGCTAAGCTCCTGAGCCTTACCTGTTGCAGCTGGAGCAGAGGAAGATGAGGAAGGTGAGGAACAAGAGCGTTGTCATGGCTGCCAAACTTCCCCACAGGATGACGTGGATCTGTCCACTGCCTAAGAAACCACCCTCTGGCCCCATGGTCCTAGCAGGAGCTGGTGTCACTAGGGGATGAAGAGGTTATTCCTTGGAGAAGGCTGGCATCTGTGCTGCCTGCACAAAGAAAAACACCATTAGAGGTTAGTATAAATTTTGAAGATAAGGAATCTGACAGCTACAAATCTGGCAGGAGAGATTTTCAAATCCAGATCTTACAAAAAAGCAGTTTCAAGTACAAGCCAGCCAGCCAAAGAGATTTTCAGCTACATTTCTGACGGTGACATAGAACAAACCTTGTCAAATATTAACGCAAGCTGTTACCTATCTACAATCTCAACATGAATAAAAGGTAGTACAGTATCTCTGTACTCTTATTTTGAAGAAGTTTATAAATCCACTTCGA